GAAGGAGAAGGACAAAGTTGGAGGACAGACACTATCTAACTTCAAGACTTTCTACAAAATTACAGTAATCAAGACAATGTGGTATTGCTGAAAGAATAGACAAAGAGATCAATGCAACAGAAGAGAGAGCTCAGAAATAGACCCATATAAATATAGTCAACTGATCTTTGATAAAGTAACAAAGGCAATTCAATGGAGAAAAAATAGTCTTTTCAGCAATTGATTCTAGAACAACTAGATGGTCTCATGAAAAAAAAAAAAGAATCTAGACACAGACCTTAAACCCTTTACAAAAAGTAGCTCACAATGGATCAGACTTAGACATAAACCACAAAACTATCAAGCTCCTAGAAGATAACATAAGGTAAAATCCAGATGATCTTGGGTTTGGTGATGACTTTTTAGATACAACATCAAAGGCACAATCCATGAAAGAGAGAATTGATAATCTAGACCTCATTAAAATTGAAAACTTCTGCTCTGAGAAAGACAGTGTTAAGAGAATAAGAAGTGAGGCTACAGACTGGGAGAAAATACTTGCAAAGGATATATTTGGTAAAGGGCTATTATCCAAAACATGTAAAGAACTTTTAAAACTAAACATTAAGAAAATAAATAATCCAATTAAAAAGTGGGCCAAAGACCTTAAGGCGCCTCACCAAAGAAGGTATACAAATGGCAAATAAGCATCTGAAAGGATGCTCCACATCTTATGTCGTTAGAGAAACAGAACTTAAAACAATAATGAGATATCACTGTATACCTTTAGAATGGCCAAAATTCAAAGAGCTGACACCACCAAACGCTGGTGATGATGTGCAGGAACAAGACCTCTCATTCATGGCTGGTGGGAATTTAAAATGGTACAGCCACTTTGGAAAACAGCTTGGTGGTTTCTTACACAACTAAACATAATCTTAACATATGATCCAGCAATCTCACTCCTTGATATTTACCCATAGGAGTTGCAAACTACGTCCATACAAAAATCTGCACATGGATGTTAATAGCAGATTTACTCATAATTGTCAAAACTTAGAAGTAACCAAGATGTCCTTCAATTAGGCAAATGGGTAAATAAACTGTGCTACATTCAGACAGTGGAATATTACCCAGCATTAAAAAGATAGAGGCTATCAAACCATGAAAAGACATGGAGGAACCTTCAATGTATAATACTAAGTGAAAGAAGCCATTCTAAAAAGGTTATATACTGTATGAATCCAACGAAACAACCTTCTGGAAAAGGCAAACCCATGGACACAGTAAAAAGATCAGTGGTTGTTAGGAGTTAGGAGAGTGAGAGGGATGAATAGGCAGGGCACAGAGTATTCTTAGGAGTGTGAAAATACTCTGTATGATACTGTAATGATGAATACGTATGATTATACATTTGTTCAAAAGCACAGAATGTACAACACCAAGAGTGAAGCTTAATGTAAACTATGGACGTTAGATGATTATGATGTGTCAATGTAGGTTCATAGATTGTAACAAATGTACCACTTTGTGGGAGATGTTGATAATGGAGGAGGTTGTACATGTGTGGGGGCAGGGGACTCTCTGTTCCCTCCCTTCAATTCTGCTGTGAACCTAAAATTACTCTAAAAAAGTGAAGTCATGTTTAAAAAAAAGTCATTCAAAATTTTATCAATATCCAGTTTTTGCAAGAATGCTATGAAATGGATTATATGTTATTTTATGTGTTATTAAAACACTCAATGGATTTCCACTGCATTTAGAATAAATTCAAACTCATTAATGTGGCCTAAAATGAAATTCTGACCATGTCTAACCTCTCTTGTCTCATTTCATTCCACTATAGCTCTCGGCACTACCCTGAACCCACACTAGCTTCCTACTTTTCCTAATCAGTATTAATTCATATCCCACGTCAGGTCTTCGCACTTGCTTTTCTCTTGGTTTGAAAATCTCTAGCCTAGATGTTGCACAGCCAGCTTCTAGGAAAAATTCTGTGCTTGTATCACCTCCACAAAGAGGTCTCTCCTTACTACCTTATCTAAAGCAGATTCCCTCAATCTTTACAAGCCACATCACTCTGTTTATTTTCTTCCCTGCACTATCATCTCTAAAAATTGTCTTGTTGCTTTTCCTGCTTACTCTTTTATTTTTGTCTATTCCATTTCTCTAGAACATAAGCTCCATGAATGCAGGGATCTGTCTAATCTCACTTACTGCAGAATTTCCAGAACCTACAGCAGTACCTAGCACAGAGAAGACACTCAACGAGTATTTGTTGAATACATGAATGTCTACTCTCTTGTTTTCTCTAAAAATCTGTTTAGATGAGGATGGCAAATGTGAAGTTGAAACTGTTGCATAGAGAGACAAAAGATATGCATTTTCTTTCAACATTAATTTTATAACATTTTTTATAATCAACATTGTATTTCCAAAATCTCATCCTACTATCTGTCTCTGTCGAAACAACAAGAAGCATTTTAAAGTAAGCATATCTATTAAAATAAGTCTGGAAAACAGATTTGATTTCAATACTATTTTACCTTTCTCATTTGGGAAAGACTCTCATCTAAAAAATAAAAGAGAGGATCCTTGAGAACCTACATGTGCTGTTTTCTCCATCACAATGCATTTCTACCCTGCCATAGAGCATTAAATTTAAGACAGTCAAGGAGGACCTATAGGAGGTATAGGTAACTAGTTAATGCGTGCAACCTCATAATCTTCCACTCTCCTATATTCCACTCTGTCACGATTCATCATGCCATCAGTGATTCTATGTGTTCATAAATATAGCCTAAATTGACCAATGTCTTAGTCCCCCTAAAGGCAGAGGCTGAAACAAAAGTTCATGTATTACTATTTTATTAGAGAATGCAAACCCAGGGAAGCATGAGCCAAAGAGAGGACAATGAGGCAGAGAAGACAGACGAGCTAGTAATTGGGTGTTTTATGGAACTGGCATCAAGTGCAACTGTTTGTTGAATCTTGGGAGATTCTATGTGTTCACTACTGAAGTGGAAAGTCTTTCTAGGTCAAGGAAAAGGAGGGATTTTATCTGCTAGTTCCATTCTCCATTGGTCAAAGATTCGTTCTGCAGAGCGGAAATTTCCAGCCCCTAGTTCTCTCTTCCTCCCCTCCTCCCATCTGCACATTTGGTTTGTACTTGTGTAAATGTCAAGCAGCTCTGTTGGGGTCTTATGCCTCAGTATCAACAAGGAAGCCCCAGGGCAGGAGGAGGAATCCTCAATGTGATCATAAGAGGATGTGTGGCCAAGTGATGCCTGTGTGCAATCTGTCAGAGCCTAAGCACCGCAGGTCACCTCAGCAGTGCCCGAGACAGGACAAATGGCCAACACAATGGAGACCGACAAGGACTACAGATCTCAAGTGTGTCTAGTATAACCACCCACTCCACGCTTCAGTCCTCACTAAACAATCTTATTGTAAATCTAGGAAAAAGCGTGATCTGTGATTTTGAGATTTAAAACAATAGAATAGGGAATATATACCTTTAGGGGAAAAGCACCCCCATTTATTGACTGCCGGGTCTATGACAAATACTGGGCTGAGCATTCGTTCAAGCACCTCCCATCTGTTAACTTTCGGGCAGGTGACAGCACACTCCTGCTCCGAGTACTGGTTCTCCTGTGGAGCAGTACTCCTTAAGCTTCTAGGAATCAGAAAAGCTTTGGACTTTGTGATCCAGAGAGGACAATGGAAAAAAATGAGGAAATAGTAAAGCAGAAGTGTGGGCAGGAGGAACAAGTTAGTAGTTCAAGTAGCTGTAGAGACCATCCATACTTGGGGAGCTATTCGAAGACATTTGTGCTGCTGATCCTCAAGCTTTGACCTTCAAAAGAGGACCTAGACCAAAGAAGAAAGTGAACAATCATTTAGGGGACTGCGACAATTCAAATCAGCTATTGAACTCCAACAAGAAAAGACAAGTAAACCTTAATCAAAGTAATTTTGAAAACTTGGTTAAAATCAAGTACCACAGAAGAATCACTAATAAATGTAAGCCACAATATTATTTGAATAGGCCTGAATGCCTTGCATAACCAGCTCAGGATGGTGAAAGATGGGATTGTTATCTTGGTGTTTTTTCATAAAATCCTAGAGCTGAAAGGAACTTTGGTGATGATGGGATCCCAAATCTTCCAATACAGAGGCTGAAACTATACACTTGAGAAAGTGAGTAATTTGTCCACAGTCAAATAGGTAGCTAATGGCCCCATCAAGACCAGAACACAGGTCTCCCAGTCTCAATGTCAATGCCTTTTCAATAACCTCAGGTGATTTAACTTTCCGAGGGGAAACATAATTTCCCTCCACTCAAGAAAAAATTAAATTAAATTAAGGGACAGGGTGAAAATAGGGCTTTCAATTATTTTTGTTATTTATCTATAGGATTAATACTGTTTTTGGCAAAAGTATACTTGCAAAGAAGTGTATATTACTTTTTAATATTCGAGCACAAATTTTCTTAGTACTAACAAAAGATTTACTGACCTGAGCTGAAATTACTAACTAAAATCAAACCATGAAAGACTGTCAGCTACTCATTGTTTTGTTTCATCCTCTTCAAAGACTCCCGTCAACGCTAAATCTATATCTATGTCTCTTCATAGAACAAGAACTGCCAGCTTCTGCTCTAATGCACCACATTATCTACATTGACCAGATCACTGCAGAATCTTGGCAAGGATTCCTCCTGTTAGGAAACGAATTCATTGCAGTCAGATACATATTTATGCTTTATTTATGTCTATTGGACAAAAGATTATTAAACAGAATGGATGTTAAGATTACATTAAAAGGTCTGACAGAAGGGAGAACTTCAGAGTGAAGACTGCCTTCCCGTTAACTCAACCCCTTACAGCTCCCTGCAGTGAAGCCCCAGTAGACACAGCCTGCTGGTTCAGGGACTGCATTTGTTGGGCAGGAGCAGGGGGTTAAAGACTTAGAGAAAACTCTTGCCCTCCTTTTAAACAGGATAATAAACAATCTTATTTTGTTTTGTTTCAACACACCGGTAGTATTTCTGCTGTTCTAAAATCTGCCTGTGCCTCGAGGGTCCTTGAGGTAGCCTGCCGCTGGGAGGCCACAGGCCTGATTTGCATTGACTCCCGGTGACCTTCCTGCAGGCGAAGCCCTGAGGACACCCTCCTGGAAGTACAGGTAGAGTTTAAAACACAGGTCCTGCCTGAATGATATTTTTAAATTGGCACAGTTAGGAGAAAGAGAAGCAAAAATTATTACTAACATGATTCATTTTCTCCCCAAGCACCTCAAGATCTCCAGAAATATTTAGCAACACTCCCACCACATTTGTATTATTTAGATTTATTTTCCTTGGAATGAAGTCATTTCTTTCCAACCCACATGTCCGAGGGTTCTCATTATCCTCAGAGCAGTCACACGACAGATGGCAACGGCTTCTTCTGTACCGAAGAATATCAATTGTCACACTGTGGGGAGATTTTACATTGTGGTCAAAACCTGCCAGAGAGAATGGTGTCAGTCTTTTAAACATGGCAGCAGGCTTGACCCACTATTTCAGCTAAAGATCCAGTACTCACATTTGATAGCGATGCAGAAGGATGTGACTGTATCTGAGGTATTAGGGAAAACATGTTATTTTTCTTCTGATATTTGTGTGATTCAAAAAAAAGCAATGCGTATGGGGAAGGCATTATTCTATAGTTGTGGTGGTTATTATTTTTACATGTCTTGATTGGGTGATTACTTGAGTTTTTCTTTTTTTCCTGAATTTTATGCAAAATTATGCCTATAAATACGAGGCATTTTAGATGTGGGAGATTCTAATAAAGCACAAACAGAAACTTCTTTTTTTCCTGCAAAAATCAATTCTCTAACAAGGACTCTAACAAATGTTTTTGAGAGTACAGAAGACAAGACTTGTTACTTTTACTTTATGGATGGCAGAATCAGAATAAATTAGAATCACTAAATCAATTCTTGTTGAAATTAACTGAGGCAAATCTAAAGTGTGAGTTTCACCTGATGTCAGAGGAACCTAGAAATAAAGCCCATGGCTGTGGGTAAATATAAGGTATCACCTGAGTTATCTCAGTCTAAACACGAACTTCACCATTCATTCACCTATTTCTAAAACCCAGACAATTCTGCAAGTATATTCTAGTTAAGTCAGATTCTTCCTGATTTAAGTTGAATAATTTAGTTCAATGAAAATTTCTCAAGCATCTGCTGAGCTCTAATGATACAAAGATGAATAAGATTAAGATGGGTATGCAATTCACTTTAATATAAATCAAGTACTATTTAAGGGTATAAACAAAAGGTTTTAAGATCAGAGAAGATAGAATGATCAGGAAAGTTTTCATATGGAAAACAAGATTTTGCCTGCATCTTAAATAGTAAGTGTGGTTTCACCAGGTGGAGGCAGTGGATGTGGAAGATCATTTTAGGTAGTAGTAAGAGCATGAAGGTGTGAATGCATTATTTGGAAAAAGCAAGTGATTTCTACTATGACATAAGAGATATGATGCAGATGAGAAGACAAAAACAATTGAACAATTGTGAAGAGTTTTGATTTCATTCTACAAGCAAGGGGGAGCTATCAAAGGTGTTTGCTTGTACTTATGGGTTAGTTTGTTTTAAGTAAAAGTGTTACATAATCTAACTCATCTTGGTATTGAGAAGATAACCTTTACAGTACTGAAAAAGGTAAATTTGAGGGGAGGGACACTGGGTTGGAATGACTAGTTAAAAGAATTTTTACAATATTTTACAATGGATAAGAACCTAGACTAGAGGAATCGTGTGTAAATAGAAAGAAAGACAAGATTAGAAGGCAAAATACAGAAATTTAAAACTAATTGGATGTAATGTGGAATTTAAGAAAGAGAGAAGAATCAGAAATTTTTTAAAAAGGTTTATAACATGGGCTACTATAGGTAGCAAAAAAAATTAACCAAACAGGTTAATGTAGAAACAGTATTCAGATAAGTTAATGTGTTTGGTTTGGCATATCTTGCATTTAAGAGACCTGAAGCAGAAAACTTGTGACAATTTTAGCTCCTTTTTAGTTTTGTCCCTGTGAGAGAGGTCAGAGTTGGAGATTTAGATTTGGGGGTCATGAACCTAAGTGATACTGAAGGCATGGGAGTAGATGAGGTCCTTGGAGGGAGAGGCAAAATAAGTCAACACCTCCAGGGGCTGGGCTGCGAGTGGCTGGCTCCTAACCACTGCATCAGGTCAGTGCTCCCTAGCAGGATTCCCATACTCTGTCTCCTCGGGCCATTGCTGACTACTCATCCCATTTCTCAGGCAAATCCCTGCCCATTGTGTCACATGCAGCCCTTAGTAAAAACATTGGGTCCTAATGAAGTTCACGTCAATAAACAGAATAAAAATAGAAGATAGAACATTCCCCTTTAGCAATTTCGTTCAATTTTATCCCTGAAAATTAGATCTGCTCTGAGTGTTATCACTGTATTAGGGCATGTAAAATCTTTGCCTTTTATAAACTTTGACCATCAAATTATATGTGACATTTTTTCTATTGAAAATAAATAAAAATATTTCAGATTTTTTTTAACAGATACCGATATCTTCAAGCTGATTATTTGCTTAAATCATTCTTACCTCAACATGTACTAGAGATAGTCCTCAAAGCTGGTGAGGAATCTGTCTGTATACTTAACTCTTTGGCATCATCTTCCTGTGTTCACTGTTGATAACTTCTTCAGAATTAGATTACCACTTTGATTTAGCACATTACCTAAGAAAGAAGTTCAATTGTGTTTGATGATATTTCTTCTTGGCTTGGGAAATACTCAGCATAGACATTAACTTCAAAATTTTCTTTCCAAGATATCCAGATGAAAATTTGGGGGAAAAATCAGTTAAAATCTTAAGCAATGCTTAAGTCAATTTAATATAATTTAACATATAATTATTAGTTACTCATCTCTAACTTTTCCTTGCAGTAGTTCTAAACACTACATTAGAAAGTTAAATACTATCTTACCTTTGTGGGTGATTTGGGGAGAAGGAAAGAAAGAGGCCATGCATGCATAAATAACTGCGAAAAAAAAAAAAAAACAAGCAGAAACCTGTCTGGTTTGTGTTAAGCGTTCTAAGAGAGATAAAAGAAAAAAAAAGCTTCCAACATTATTTCTTCTAATGAGAAAATTATATTCCAGTCAAAGGGGCTAAGATAAATTGTCAGAAAGTTGAGACAGCACATAGTTTGTAGGGAAACAAATCATAAAAATCTTAGAAAAGTATTTCTCAAAATGCATTCCCCCAGATGCTGATAGACACATGACAAAATGTTTCGGAGGTACATTAGCTCATGTAACTCTTTATTAAAACAGTTTTATTTACATTGGTCTTCTCAGAGCGCTTAATATGCTCCTGTGGAGCAAAATCTGTAAGATGGAGAGAGGGCTCAGTCTTTCTCACAGTGACATAAAGGATAGTACTAGGCGTGGTGGACACTGTTGGTGACGCACTCAGATCTGGAGCTGCTTGGCCAGCAAAGACGAGAAGAGAAGTTCCTGGGACTTTCTGTCCCCACTCCTTCCCCACCCTCCCAATGACTGATTGGTGCCAGAGTATCAGAACCCAGCTGGCAGTGTGTAATTTATACCCTAGAGCTCCGCCACGGATTCAGACTACACTGTGCCAGCTGCCATTGTACTCTTGCTTCCATTCTTCCCCTTCTCTCTCTTGCTCCCCTCCTCTCTTACAGGGTTTTCCTGGGAGCTTTGCCTTAATATATTCTCTGCACACAAATCTTTGTCTCAAAGTCCGTTCTGGGAATAAGACTGAAAAGATATCCAGGATCATACCATGGAATGTCTTGAATGCCAGACGAAGGTTCCTAACTGAAATTTCTTATTTTCTTCCAGGTATCTGGTATAGTTTAGACGTTGTCCTTTTCTGGTAGGTTAAATTCTAAATAGAAATAGGCACATCCCCAACATTTGTGGGGTTAGAGACAGGGGAATAATTAAACCCACATATCATAAATCAACCTAAAACCTCTTAAATGTAGTATATATATATTCTCCTATCTTTTCAATAGTTAATATTGGAAAGTTGTCCACATTTGCTAACTCATGGTCCCTTCAGAATCACAAATTGAAATACAAAGAGAGGCAAGAAAATGGATGCTTGACCCAACTGGGAAACAAACTTTGCTATGCTAGAATTTTTTCCTTACTGTAGGTAACTCCCACTCAAATCCTTCCACATTCTGACTCTTGGACAGTGATAACACTCACAACACTTCATACGATTTGGATACAGTTACCTTTTATTTTGGAAAAAAAGTAGAAAAACATTTCCTTGGGACCTGAAGTACGCTCATCATTAGAGTAAATGTTTAGAGACATCTAAACATCTGTGCCAGCACTAACTGCCCAATCTCAAGCAGCTGATGTGTTCGTGATCCTTAATAAATTGTCTGTGTGTTTGTGTTTATAATCAGTGGGGCTTCTAAAATATAGGTCGGGGCTCACTTGCCCAGGTCTGAGGGCCAAAATATACAGAAAAAAGCAGTTTCAATTTTATTTTATGGACACTATGTCAATAGAAAAACATGATAAAGCAATTCTGTTTGATGGTTTAAAAAGAAAAAAATGGAATCTATAAATAGAAGAATGAAAACTAGACAGCACTTTAAAATAAGACAGAAACTGATATACGTGGTTTTGTAATTTACAATGCATTTTACCAACTTTGTCTCTTTTATATAAAAAGACTTATGTTGGGGGGCTGGCCCCGTGGCCGAGTGGTTAAGTTCGCGCGCTCCGCTGCAGGCGGCCCAGTGTTTCGTTGGTTCGAATCCTGGGCGCGGACATGGCACTGCTCATCAAACCATGCTGAGGCAGCGTCCCACATGCTACAACTAGAAGGACCCACAACGAAGACTATACAACCATGTACCGGGGGGGAGCTTTGGAGAGAAAAAGGAAAAAATAAAATCTTAAAAAAAAAAAAAAATCAGATTCCTTTTAAAAAAAAAAAGACTTATGTTGAAATACATTCCAAAATATGTAAGCCTCAGAGTTTCAATAAACCTATAAATACACATTGCAAACAACAAAAGAAAAGACATATTTTCCTTTTGTCTTCTAAGAAGTCATTACAGTAGACATCATATAATACCAGTAGACCATTATTTACTTGGTGGTACTGAAAAACAGAATTTCAAGAATATTCTTCAAGAGATAGTTATAATGAGCAGCAGTCTGATTCAGTAATGCACAATAAGGTTAAGTTAGTGCCCCTTAAAGTATATGTTTTATTCTAGCAAAGAACATGATTTCAAGTAACAGAATACAACTGATCTGTTCTAATCCAAAACTGTAAGCTATGTGGCAGGGAAAAAGAATATTACAAGGAGTTTGGAGTCAGGAGCTCTTGCCCCAAGAGGGTCAGTAAAGCATTTATCTCTGACGCCAACCCATACACCTAACATTTCCTCTTTGGCAGGACCACATCTATTGTTGCTATTATAATCTAGTTGTGATAGCAAACACTTAATACTTGTTTGTTGAATAAATGAATGATCAAATCAATCTATTGGGACGTCCGCTTCAAGAATTGTAGAATGAAGAGGCTCACACTGTTACTGGGTGATCTGTTGTATTTGGATAAATTTGGTTCAGGTTTGGGAATAATTCAACAAAAACAGGACCTTATTATACTATCCCATCTAACATTTTGAGATGGTTTGTATCTCTTTCAGTTTTCTAAACCAGCAGGTGTCTAGACCCTAAATAAACAGTGCTATGCACTGCAATAGCACTGCAGTGCTATGGTTAATGGTAACTTGAGTGAGATGTGATAATAGAAACCTAGGTAATTAATCAGTATTTCCTTTACTATTTCTCAAATTTTTGTTACACTGCAATGCATTTACACTCCTGATTCAGAACTTCCAGTTCTACTCCTACTGTGAAGAAAAAAAAAACGCATAAGCTATCTTGGGATTCTCAAAATGCTGTGCACCTTGTGCCTGTACAAATCATAAGACCCTTTGTCTGCACCTCAAGTTACTTGCGTGGAAAAGCATGAGTAAGTTCTTCTCTGAAGTTTTAAAGAAACGTTAACATGCATATGCTTGAGAGGAAATGAGCCACGAATTGCAGAACTTCCCAGCATGCAGGCTTGCCCAGTCTTGGCTCTCAATTCCTTCTAAACTCTTTGCTTTCCTGATATAAATGTCATGTGCTAGTTTCATTCATGGCCAAGCAAAGGTTTCTCACAACTTTGAAATGGTTTGCATTGGCTTCAAATAAGATTGCCTGTGTCAGAGCAGAGCTTAAAAAAATGTTTGTGTTGATATGACTCAAGCCCAGGCACCGTTCCTCATTTTTCTTTCAATGTGTTTTTCAAAACTCATGGCATAGGTCTGCCTGAAAGTCGGAAACACTTTTGACAATAACTTGGCGTTTTCTTTAACCTAATATACCAGCTTTAAAATGAATTATGGGGCCATTAATAGCAGGTAGGTGACCTGAGAACTACAGAGCAATTGCCTACATATGGACTGTCTCACAGCACAAGACGGCAATGTCTATGGTTGGCAGAATAATGGGTAATCAGGAGTTTTAAGGAAACGTATCCTTGCCATTTAGTTGAAAGGCGGAAATTTACAAGAGAAAGGTTTAGACAATCATTTAAAAAGAAGAAATAGAGTAATAAACTCAACATAGTAATTACATATTGGCAAATGTGAGATGTTTTTAAAGTCTTCACTTTCCTTTATGGGGAAAAAAGTGTTTCTTGTTGCCTACACGTTTTTTTAACGTTTAAATAGGTTATCCCAAATATTTCAATAAATTTTTAACTTTGGGATCAGTTCAAACTTAATAAATGCCTAGCACTGTGGAATACATTAGAGAAGGCAAAGTTATTTTGATTTCCTTCAATATCTCATAATGTAATTGGAAAGACAAGACAGACACAAATAAAACTATTAAGGGACAAAGCAGAGGCAATAGATAACTGTTTCTGATGCCCGAATTTCACTTCAGCAGTTACAGTTTTCTGAGACCTTGTGACAACTTGTGAAAGGCAAAATCCATTCTCATACATTGGTGATGGGAGCCAAAGTGGTGTAACCATTGATTGGTATTGTTTTCTAAAATGGACCATATTCATATCCAATGGTATAAATCGACCCAGCAATTCTTCTCCATGATTCAGCAATTCTACTCCCAGGGGTGTACCCTAAAGAAATGTGTACATGTGTTTACCACCAACAAAAAAGACATGTACAAGAATATTAATAGCAGGTCTATTTGTAATAGCCCCTACAAATAGGAATTTTTTTATGACTATTTATCTAAAGTTCAAACCAGACAAAACTAATTTATGATGTTAGCAATCAGAAGATTAATTAACTCTGAGGGGTTTGTGATTGCAAGGGAATATGACAGAATATTGCAAAGGAATATGACTAGGGTGCTAGTCAGTGCTAGATAGGATCTGGGCTACAAAGATATATTCAATTTGTTAAAATTCACCTTTCATAACTTTCTGAAAATTCAGTCATATAATTTGTGCATTAGTTAATCTCTCTGTATATGACAGATTGCATAATCTGTATGTATGCTATACTATAAAGAAAGGAAATACAGTAAAAAAGATAAAGGCCAATGTAGTTGGCAATAAATTGGGGAATACTATTATCTTTCTATAAAAGGTGATGCCAGTGAGAGTAATATCTACTTCAATGTATGCTTCAAAAAATAATCTTTCTTTAGGCCATCATTGCATGTCCTTCTCTAGATCTCAGCCCTTTCACAATACGATCTTGAAAATGCCCACACTCCGTGACCAAGAAGTAGGGGAAGTGAGGAGAGGCAGGGTAACTCACCTTGCCACCACACTCAACTGCCTTTATCCTGGGAGTAGCTTACATTTTCTTCTGGTGAACTTTTGCCATCTGGTAACAATCCATCTATGAGTATTGACAGATCCAGATCTTTCTAGACTAACCTTGGACTCTTGGTTTCTTCTGATATGCCAGTTGAGTTTCAAATTATATCTTGCCTGCGTAACAATTAGGAAAAGGAAACAAACTTTCTAAGATAATAGATAGGATGTTATCCTTATTAATGGACAAGGAAATTCCACTCTAGTGCCTAAACAGAACTTTGATATGTATGTGGGGAACCTAAAACACTCCTCCAACCTTGTTAGTAATTATCTCAAGTATAAACTAACAATACGGGCAAGACAACTGATTAGGAATACATACCGAGGATGTTCAAAAAAAAGGGAAGATTTTGAAATGCAGCTTTTCAGAGAAGGCTGTGGAACGGAAAATCCTCGCAAGTGACATTTAAAAAATTTATAGCAAATTTTACAAATTTAATAAATTTTAATTTAATAAATATTCCTCATGCACCTATTTATTATGTATCAGTGAGAAAGAAAAATGTGAACAAACCTTTGGTGTGAGAACGAGAAAAAGTAAGACTAGCAAGAAACTTACTTCAGATGGGGTGAATCCAGGAAGCCCTCAGTGCTAAGAAGGCCTGGCTACCTAATTAGGGAAGCCCAGTACAAAATAAAAATGCAAGTCCCCTTGTTCAAGGTTACTAAGAATTTCAAGATGGCGATAGCAGAGCATCAAACATGGCGTCCCTCTCAGTGTGGGTCTCGCGTGACTGCAAATGCTGCACATCCATGGAGCTGACCCTGGTGCTAAGCCTGTGGTGCGTTTAAAACCTCTGCAGGTGTTTAAACGGTAGTAACTTGATAAAAGTGTTGTGTTGATAAAATAAACTGACAATATTATATAGATAATAAAATAAATCCAGCAGAAGCTAGGCTGAATAGAATGGAAAAGAGCAAGTAAATGTACCAGGGATAATTACAGGAATCTCACCTGGAAGGACTGAGACCCCAAGTAGGAGGCAGTTGTGAGAATGGAAAGGGAGGAGCAAATTTGGAGGAATGAAGGATGGATTCAATATAAGGCTGAAAAAACAGAAACTTTGAGTTAAGTAATTTGATTGACTAGAATTGTATGTGTGTGGCTGTATGTGTTTAGCAGGGTGGAATACAGTGAGCTATGATTTTCCAGAGAAAAGCAGAGAATACAGAGATGAGCGTTGCTTGCTCAGGGCTCACTCAGAATGGAGGGTTTTGTGTCTGGAGCATGGTGTAAAGTAGATTCAAAGAAAGAAGGATTGAGTAGGGCAGCTACATGAGTGAAAAGAGAAAAGAGATTTTAGAAGCAGCCATGAATGGGAGACTGGGGAGATAAGCATCCAAACAGGATTTCAGGGAAACTGTTCATATAAAACTCCTGTAGAGTTACACTTTAGCAAAACCCTTATGTTTATCAAACCCTAAGGTCCATTGGTCCCACCTTAGTTTTTGAGTTTCTTTTTTGAACAGGATTGATATTACATGACTCCTTCGTTCTTCCAAAGAACAAAGGTAAAATTTACTTATTTAAAAAATACATAGAATAAAATTTATTGGACAATTGGGCCCTTTTATAAGATGCGTTATGAGATCTTAGTGGTTTTATTTGCCTATACTTTAAAACATTTTGCTAGTTTAGCATCCTAGTAATTATCTCATTATTTCTCATCAATTATTCTCAATTATGCTGCAGAAAAAACTCAAATAAAGAGAAAACAGAAGAGTAACAGAATCAACTAGAAACTTAATGTAACAGAGAAATCAATCATCACTTCAGTTTTCTTACCGAATTACCCCAAAGGTAGCATTATCTTTCTAAAAGGTAGGAAGAAAATGGAGACACCCATCTTTGTGGTATGTTTTTTAGCTTTCCTTGAACACAATTGAAAATTCAGAACTTTTCATTTTCTTCCCATAATAGTAAAGAGAAGACTTACAGAGGAAGACATATCACTATTATTATATGAATCAGAAGATGAATGCAAACAGACAGATAGCACTCTAGACTATAACAGGAATGGTGAAATCACATAAGTGAAATCTAAGAATATGAGACTTTAAATGATAATATCCTCAATAAACAATATATTTCTAAGGACAGAAAGGAAATATGATATTCTCATCCAATTAGTCATTCAACAGTCAATATTCTTCATCATATAATACTTGCAAGAAAAATCTGGGTTATTTGGTTTAGCCAAGAAGATGTATGACAGCATGCTGTTATCAGTTCTGATATTTGAAGGCCAAAATTTACTTGACACAAAGAGTTTTACCTTATTTAAATTTTTATTCAAATTTCTAACAAAGTTATCTTTCATTTTTCCTCTTTTCTTCAGTAAATTCTTCATAAAATGACAAAAAATAAATAAGTAAAAAGGGTCAGTTGGACACTGATGGTGAAATACAATGACTCTTTTTTTCCTGGTGTATTGCAGGTTAGGGACATTTGTCTTAAAAATAGACATAGTTCTTCAAGGTTTTAAGAAGAAGTCTGGTGTTTCTTTTAAAGTGACTGCCAGGTTTTGTTTTAGTGAGAGAGTAAGGCAAGCAAGTTGCAACTTTAATATGATAACATTTTGCAAAGTTAAGGATTTTAGAATGGGAAGAAAGATGGTGCTACTTAACGTATACTGGGAAGAATGAAAAAGAAAACTAGCATTGAGTAGGCAGGAGAATGAAGAAAAGTGGAAATAGTGAATCTGATCTTATATTGGACACGTTAGTTCACATTAGTTCTAGCAGAAGTATAATAAATTCCCTGAGATTTTGTTATTTTGAGTGAAATATACAGAAGACATTGGAGATTTACCTAGTGAGCAAGGCCATCCATAGATCTCATCATAAAAGAAATGCTTGAAGTTGAGAGTGGCAGCTTTAAAAAGATGAGGCAGCAATGTGCTAGATTTGGTTTGTACAGGCTGTGAGAGCAATCATTAAATTTTCAGAAATTTTGCAGCTGGTTGTTAAACAACCGTTATCGAATATTAAATTATATAAACATAATTTAATGAATTACATTATAAACAAAGGTAATAAATACTCAAAATGCATCACTTCTAACCATTTTACACTTTTCTATTATCTATGTTCTTGAGGTTATTCACATCTATTATATATGAATGGTGCAAATGACAATTAGGTGCTTTTCCCAATTCCTCATTCAGTGACTTCAAGTTGATAGCTTGAAAGTTGATTTTATGATGACTGTTGGTAAGATTTCAGAATTATTTGATAAAATATTCCCAAGTTAGAATGAAATCTTTATAGGAAAAGAGGATCCACATACAATTAAACTGCTTTGTAATAGTTTCTGGTTAGACTTAATGGTAAACCGTAAGGCCTCCTGTAAATGGTGATTGAAAATAAAAGCCTAGAAGTGTCTGCATTTCACTTGATTACCATTAGAGAGCCAACAGGCTGCTTTCCTTTCATTAAGGGAGGTAATGTTCCTGAGGAATTAATGAGTTCCTTCCTCAGTTCTCGGGGTGCTTATAAAGTTCCCCTGAAACAACTCATCAAATGGTCCTTTATACCCACTCTAGAGCAAGAGCGCCAGAGACCTGCACAAATGATCCTCTCTTCCTTTCCAGTTTGCCCTGGTAAACAATAAAGCAGGCCCTGTTTAACCCAGAAAGGATCAGGTTTTCAATCAAGTTTCAAAATCAAGATTCTTCTTAAGAATAATCATAAAAGATCCCTTTTGAAAGAGATATAAAAGAAATTAACACTGCACATTAGAAACCCTGTTAGAAAGAACTTCTCCTAAACTAAGTAAATTCAGATGAATGACCGAGCCCTCAATTTGTTTCTGAAGTCTCACAAGAGCCCAGTGCCATTTCAGATGACCTGCAGTATGGAAATAGGCCCAAGGTGGCAGGAGGATGCTACAAGGACTAGTTCCAGCACATTCCAGCACATTCCATTCTGTTCACTCAAATTCCATTTCTGAAAGACAAGAGAATCTCTCTCCAAACTCAATGGCATAGACTTTTAGAGCACATTTAAAAGATAATCCAAGAACAAGAACAGCTAAATTATGAGACAGCATTTTGGAGAAGGGCTGAAGACAATAGAAGTATTGTTTTCTCACAGCAGAAGAAAGCCTTAGTTATTTTGAATAAGAAATTATAAAATTTAAGATAAAGAGAAATCCCAGAATTTATTAGATCATCCAGCTTCTCTTAAAGGAGTTAACACATACCAACAGGAAAAAATAAAGAGAAATCCTTCCAAACTCCAGAGGCCTATTTAGTCAGCGGATGACTCTCCAAATGTTGCTGTTAAATTCCATGTGCGAGTCCTCTTAGCCCTAGGAGTGAAAAAAGACCCAGGACTTAAACAGTTCATTAAGGCGCCTGGACCTGTTTACAGTAAAATCACGTTTTCACTAAAACTTTTCACCTTAACACTGTATGTTTCTAATGTAAATTTATGATGTAGAAGTTGAAAGATTTTTTTTTTAAAATCATGGAAAAAGGTGCTTGTAACCCAATTTTCTAACACCTCACAATCCTAATTCATTTGGTTGAGTTAAACGGTTTTACAGTAATAACTTATCTCTGGTGAACTCCAAACACCTATCAAATTCTTCCTCAACCAAAGCAATACAGTCTCTCTAACCAAACCTAATCAACCAAATCACAGAAAAGTGAGAAGAGAGCATTTTTTCCTCCTCAAACATAAAAATGCATGGTGGATAGATTAAAAGGAAAAATTATAAGGAAGTTAGAAATCACACAAGGATAAGGGGAGAAAAGGAAGTGCCACCATAACAAAAATGTCAAACTTTTGGAATTCAATGCATTCTTTACTGACTCTAGCTAGCTCAGCACATATAAAGATTAAAGGATGAATCCTGAGTAGGTGTGGAGAGTTCTAAACAAAGTGCTCTTCTGTGCAGATCCACATGATAAAGCATTGACTCCAGCACTTCATTGGCTTAAGAATTTCTTGCAAGCCTGAAAGTAAAGTTTATAATTAAAAAACAAAAAACTTTCTTCATCCCAATCAGCAAGGCAGGTGCCAGGACTGCTGTGACTGTGACTTGTACAATATTGCCCCTACTCCCTCCCCTTCCACTGCCCCACGCCCTCCGCTTGCCACCACCCCCAACACCCCCCACGCCTAAAAAAGGTAAAAACAAAGAAGAATGCATCTCACCTGAGTGACTGTGAATTCCTGTGCAGGAATTTTTTGTATTTTACCAAAAAAGAAAGTTGGTCATTTTGAAAGTACATAGAATGCAATCCTATTTAGAGCAACGGTGCAATCAAACATTGTGTGCTCATTGCGAAGTTTGCAACATTTGACAAATTGTAATTCTGTTCTTCGCAAACTTCTAAACACTTCCTGCTAAGTGACAACAAGCTTCAGCAAGTTTCCACAAACCTTCTGCAGCTTCTTCATCTCACTATAAAGAACAGATGCCGTTTAGAGGCTGCTGTGAGCTCTTCTGTTCTCTGTACAATATGTACACGTACAAAAAGGAATTCACATTCAATGAAAATGTGATAGCCGAGGCCTCCAGAAAGCTTTAGCAGTAAATGCACAGCATTCCAACAGCTGGCCTAAATCAAGGGCTCTCTGTCAATCACGGAGAAATGTGACAGACTTGTGACTTTGTGGCAAAAGTGACAAAATTTACAGTTTGAGAGAATCACATCAATAACAAAATA